AAAATTCCGATTTCTGTCATCGAGTTATTTACTAAAGAAATCAATTTCTAATGGGCAAAATAATAAATTTTCGATTCTTTCCTGAAATTTTCCAAAAGTCATTCAAAGAATTGTAAATTGCCCTTCACAAAATTAGATTTAAAAATACTTTATAAAAAAAACTTTTTAAAAAACCACGTTTTTACCCGTGGACTAAAAAGGAGAAAATAATTTTTTTATTGGGTTCAAAGGACATTGGTTTGAAAAATTGAGATTGATTTGAAAGTTTCATAGTAAAGTCATGACCATACATGAATTGCAAATTTATTCACTTCGACCATATCGTATAGTTCTACATCTTAAAACGTGGGCGCATTTATACCAAATTTAAGCTTTCCAAATATACACCATTAATGAATGCGCCCACGTTTTAAGATGTAGAACTATACGATATGGTCGAAGTGAATAAATTTGCAATTCATGTATGGTCATGACTTTAGTATGAAACTTTCAAATCAATCTCAATTTTTCAAACCAATGTCCTTTGAACCCAATAAAAAAATTATTTTCTCCTTTTTAGTCCACGGGAAAAAACGTGGTTTTTTAAAAAGTTTTTTTATGAAGTATTTATTTTCTACTTTTTAGTTTTAAAAAATTATTTAAAGTATCCATCGATCAGCATAAGTTTGTAAACTAGAACAAAACCATTGAAAGTCTCCATCGATCAGTTGTGCTTCGCAAAGCATAAGTTTGTAAATAGGGTTTTCAATCCCGGGATTAAAATGTACTGAATCCCGGGTTTACATACATTTAAAACCCGGGATTGAAAACCATATTTGTAAACTAGAATTTAACCATTGAAAGTCTTCATTGATCAGCTGTGCTATCGCACAGCATAAGTTTGTAAACTAGAATTTAACCATTGAAAGTCTTCATTGATCAGCTGTGCTATCGCACAGCATAAGTTTGTAAACTGGAATTGAACCATAGAAAGTCGTATAACGTATTTTTTGTGATTCAAACTTATAACGGCTTTTTAAAATTTAAAATTATTGAAAGTTGTACATATGGAGTGCCTATTAAAATAACGAATTTTAAAATTTCGAAACTTCATTTTTACGAAAAATTATTTTTTCGACTTTTTTTTATAAATTTCAAATTCTAAAATGTCGTTAATTTTATCACGTGTTCTCTTCAATAATAAATCTGCAAAAAAAAGATTAATAGAACAAATGTTTTTAAATGTATGGAATTAAAACGTATTTTTTTTTTCAATATCACATTTTATGGACTACATGTGTATGTTAAAAGGAGCAATAAACGCAATTAAGCTCTTAAATCATTTTTGACTACTGCAATAGCCTTTAATGTTTCAATGGAAAGAATTTGTGTCCATCGAAATGGATATCGACAAATATTTGGCTGGAAAGCCACAAAAGTATAGAATGCCAGGTTTTTAAAAGACAGAGAATTCCATTAAATCAATCATGAACCGTCGACAATCCGTGCCACAAGTTGAAAGATTAAAGGCTATTAATCTTAATAAAGGCAAGTAGTCAAAAATGATAGTTAAAAGCTTAATTGTAATTGTAACGAATAAAAAAAAAGGTTTTAATTCCATACATTTAAAAACATTTGTTCTATTAATCTTTTTTTTGCAGATTTATTATTGAAGAGAACACGTGATGAAATTAACGACATTTCAAAATTTAAAATTTATAAAGAAAGTCGAAAAAATAATTTTTCGTAAAAATGATATGATCGTAAAAATGAAGTGTTCGTAAAACTGAAGTTTCGAAATTTTAAAATTCGTTATTTTGATAGGCACTCGTACATATGTTATGTAAAAATAAGCTAAACCTTGAAGAGGAGAAAATTTAATTAATTGTACTATAATTAAGCATTTTTGAGTTTCCAAAATGCTTGAATATTGTACTGTCACCGGAAAAATAAGTGCATGCGAAATTTCAGCTCGATTGGACAAGCAGAAAGACAGAAAGACAAGAAAGCAAGTTAAGAAAAACGTGGTAAGTAAAAAAACGTGGTAAGTAATAATAATAAAAACAGCATAAATTTATGCTCAAACTATGTGTGCTATATGCACATCGCATATTGATAGTTATTTTGCATTAATTCTCGCTCGGTAATTTTTTTAAACTTTTTATGCCACATTTTCATGATATATGTAAATCTCATTCATCAAAATTAATAATTAATCAAGATATAATTGAATTAAAGCCATATTCAGGCTGGTGTCAAAATAAGACTCAAAGAAATGTAACTTAAACTACAATAATTCCAAATTTGAAATAAAGAAAGATTGTTGTTTTGCATTAGGGCGATTCCATGGGTAAATGGAACTGAAAATTTTTGGTTCAAAAACTTTTTTAGCTTTTTCTGCTTAAATATACATATTTCAACATATCTTTTCACTAAATAAGACTTATTATTCATCAATTCATGTATTATTAGCATTTAATCGTCTTAATTATGCTGCATTTTGACAAAAATATGTAATATGTTTTGCAATAATCGGTTGAAAGTTGACCGATTAAGTGGTGTTTTCCCCAATTTTCTCCTTAATTACAGTAGTAAGAAATACAAATAAGATATTGTTATAAAGCACAGGCGATTTCACGTGTGTTTATCATAGATTTGTAACACAACAATGAATATTCAAAGAAATATTGATAAAAATTTAAAAATCAATTTTCTGTAAAGTTGACCGATTAAGTTTGGTTTTTTTAAAATATCTTTTGTCAGACAGATTTAACTAAAAGATTATGCACTAAAATACATAAATACCATAATAATAAATAAAATAAATCTTAAATATGGCGTTAAATGAAGTTAATTAAGGAAATATTTACAAAACATTGAGTTGAGAAAAAAAAATTCACTCATGGAATCGCCCATTAATTCGTAACGGTTTTTTTGAAAATTCAAATTTTCACTTACGGATATTCATGAAAAAATTACTTGTCTATTTTTTCATCCTCCCAGAAAATCTTCAGCTTCTCCAATTATTAGTATTATTAAAAATTAGTAATATTAATTAAACTATAGTGAATCATATAAATGACTTTTGAGCATTTCAAGTATAATATTTTAAACAAATCAAAATTTCATACCATTGACATTGGATTTTTCTCCCAAATAAAAAAGTTTTATTAAAATTGTACTATAATTAAGGATTTTTGTGGTTCCAATGTGTTAAAATATTGTATTGTCATCGGGAATACGTATGAATAAAAAATTTGAGCTCGATTGGAGCAGTAGAAGTGGTCGAAAAATCGATCGCAAGATTTGAAATTTTTTGCAAACAAACAAACAAGAAAGCAAGTTAAGAAAAACGTGGTAAAAATCTAATCATAATATTTGTTTACACATTTTGCTAAAAAAAAATGTAAAGATTTAAACATAAAAAGAACGCAAAATTAAAATTCTGTTGCTCAAATTCTTATTAAATTAACTAGAATTTTAAAATGATGGAACTTCTGATGCTGTTTAACCGTGTCTACAAGCCCCAAGAAGGTTTCCAATGGTTTTAGACCATTTAAGAGATTTGATTGTTTATAATCTCAAAATTTCGAAATTATTCCGATTATTCAGGTATACAGGGTTACTTAAATAAACTGATGGCCACAAATTTATTGAAAATGTTCAGCAAATAATTGAAGTGATTCGTACAAAATTCAAACGTAATATTTTGTAAGTTTTTTCATACTTGAGCTCTTTTAAAGAAAAGCTTAAAATAAAACCTGCCAGAGAAAAATTTTATATCCTAAAATAGATTTTATATTCACACCGTATTCACTTTATTTTTGTTCAGCTTGAAAAAAAGTTTTTCGCATTTTGAGGAAAAAAAAGCAAATGGGCAAAAACAGAATTTAAATTGGCTGTAGCATTGATGGGAAAATCGCATAACACGTAAGCAAACAAGCATCAAGGCAAGTAAATCAGCAAAAATCTCAATAACGAGGCATCTTAGAGACTTCTAATTCTTGCATTTGATTCGTGCTGCATTAAAAAGGATAAGACTTTATTTTTTTATTGGGTAAGGTAGAAACAGCCATTGCTTCCAAAAAAGCAAAGCGAACTCAAATTTTGCCAATGACAAAAATGATAAAAACGTGATTTATTAGTTCCGCACGTTTTAAATTTAGAAAGACTTCATTTCAAAACAAAAAATTGAAAACTTTGTGTGAATATGATTTCTTGAGTGAATAGATCTTTGATACATTAAACATCTAGGCTCTAGGCTTTTAGAAAATTTACAAAAAAAATACTTGGCAAAAAAAACCAAGTTTTCAACTTGAACATTCAACCAATATTTATGTTTTCTTCTTATTTAATTTTTTGGAATAATGAAATTGACAAATTAATAAATGGGATTTTTTTTGGCCGAATAAGTTTTTGGTTTTAATTTAATCCATAATTTTAATCGTGTTCCATTTATTCCACTTGTAATTATAGGTTGGATTATTATCTTCCCGGAAGGATAATAATTCCAAGTTTATTTCTAAGTGGGAATATTATCCCGCAGGGAACATTTAAAAATTTGCGATTTTCGGGGTTATTATCCCGCAGGATCGTGGAATTAATATCTTTCGGAGATTTTACCCCCCATCGCCATAGACCAATACTCACAACTTCAACAGTCGTCTTGCGTCTCAAAACGCCGAATAAATCAAATTAAAAATCAATCAAAACAAAATCCTAAATTAAAACAAAAACTAAGTAAAAAAAGGGGATCGTCTTGTATCAATGTCAGCTTTCAAATGAGACATTTCCACAAATTTTTAAAATTAGACCAGTGTGATATGTTCACTTACGGAATAAGTGAACACTTTTAGCTAAGAGGTGGTCTAAAAAGTAGTTTTTTCGCGTTATGTAATATGCGAATAATAATAATAATAATAATATTAATAATGGTCGTTAAGGATTAGCGATAAGGTTTATAATCGATGTACGTGTTCATTTAATAAGACTTCCACAGACTTGCACACATAGTTTCTTACAGTACATAACATATGACCCCAATACTCCACATATCCGTAAAAGGACCGATATCTTCAAAAAGGACAACTTCGGGTGCTGAAAACTCAGCTGTACCAAACATAACCTGAGATGTTAAGAAATTTAGGAAAAAACCAAGAAAAAAAATACAGAAAATTATACTTGCAAATTCTTGTTAGGGTTATAACGTCTAGCAAAACCAAAGTCAATTATTTTAATTCGATTTCCTTGCTTCGAGATACATAGAACATTTTCAGGCTATTTTTTAAATTAAAAAATTAATAAAATAAAAATAAAATACCATGTCTCATACATAGCTATAAAATAATATATTATTCACTTTTGACGTCTATCGTTTAGAAGAAGCAGATTTTTTATTATTCACACTGTTTTCACGTGTGAATGTTTTATTTTTATTCAGATTGAAAAATCAGTTCTACTATTTTTGTGAAAACATGGAGCTACAAAGCTCAAAAAATTCTTTAAAAAATTTGTGGATAATTTTACAACTTTTGCAAAAAAAAACAAATTTCAAATTGTTTGTGGCATTCATGAATCGCAAAATAAGCTTTCTGTTAGCAAGCAAACAAGCAAGTTATAGGCAAGAAATCTCAATTTTACACCATGTTGCAAATGTAATATCTCTGCGAATACTTCATTAATCATAACGATTTTTTCACCAGATAATTAAGTAATCAGATCACTAAAAGTTTTGTCTAAAATATACAAAATGGCGAATTTGTAAGTTAGCTTAATTCAGCTTTAAAATGTTGAAGCTGAAATTTTGATATGAAGGAAATAGTTGAGGAACTATCTTTCTTTACAAAAAAGGTTACATATGTAATTTTCTTTAAGTTTGTGAGAGAAAATTTTCAATTCTACTATAATTAACCAAGTTATGATGAGTTTTACAAAACTAGTCATAACTCATTGCTGTGTTATTCGTCTACTGATTTTTTCATTTCAAACTATAGAATTCAACAATGTTTATCATATTGCAAAAGAAATATTACTTTTTGTTCAAGACAAGCAGTGAAAATTAAATTATAGTAAAAAATTTGACCAAAAATTTTGTAACGGTTTTTAAAATTATAAATTTGTGAGCAAACAAGAGCAAAATTTGTTGCTCAACTTAAATTTCATTGTTTTTATAGTTAATTTAACTTACTTTTAAGCCTTTTTCGAATGTAAATTAAATAGTAAAAGACTCTTTAGATATCAAGTAATTGTTCTTGACCGATGTTAATAGTTTTGATTTAAAAATACATTTTACATTCAATTTGGTTTTCAGTTAATTTAACTAAAATAACTCATTTTTAATAAAATCTATTTAGATCATATGATAGAAAAAAGCAAGCTCTACAATTTTTGTCAAGCTTCCAAACATTATCTTGCTTTCTTTTCAAAGAAAAATCGACTTCAAATGTTAATTTGTTAATTAAACTAACTTAATAAGTCGCCATTTTGAAAAATGAATGTTAAAAAGAAACTTACTATTATTAGCTATCATGTAGTGAAGGAATCATATTAAATAAGTTATTGAAAGCAGAGAAATCTGAATTTGAATATTTATTCCCCTTTTTTCTGATCTTGCCCAATGATTTTTATAAAATTCAAGGAAAAAATTGCAATTGCAAAATGTTAGCTTTATTGCTACTAGTTATTCAATTTTAATGGCTAATAAGACTTTAGAATATGTTTAAAATATGTTATTGTATTCATAAATCTTGTTTTATAGTTAAAACTTAAAAAGAAATGTTAAAGTAGTGTTAGTAATTTTTGAAAATTCAAAAATTCAATGCAATTCCATGGATGAGTTGAATTTCGAAAAAAATAAATTTTTGATCCATGATCTTTAAAAATTTGATTGCTTCAAAAATAAACTTTAACTAAGCTAACACTTTTTAAAACGAGTTAAAGATCTTCATTGACTATTAAACTTTTAAAAACAAGGTTCTAATCAAAGAAATTATTGTTAATTTATGTAAAGTTGAGGATAGAATGAACGGCAAAACATCCATTAATTGTTGTCTAGATGTCTTTAAAGTATACTAACAGACAAAGAGCATGCTCTTAATGAGTATGCTCACGAGTTAACTCAGTCAGTACATTTAAGTGAGCATACTCATTGAGAGCATGCTCTTTGTCTGTTCGGGGTAGTAAATTTCTGCTTTCAAAATCAGAATTCAACATTGTGTAATATACCAATGCTGACAAAAATCCAAATATTTCATTGATGAAGGCATGACAAAATGCATGAGTTAGACAGAATGAAAGAGTTCGGCGTTTTACATAAGTTTGTGTAAAAATTGCATTTTCAAAGTTCCTTAATTAAGAGAAAATTCGAAAATTCGAGAATAAGGACCATTTTCGAAAAATAAGAACCGTCGGCATCCATTGGAGTTAACCCTTCTAGCTTAGCCTTTTAACAAGACTTTCGATGGTATGTTGTGAATATATCCGCATTGAGTTTCTACCCGCTTTTAAACGCATTTTTGAAACTTGTTTCTAAAAGGTAAATCAATAATGCTTTTTGTTTGTTCGTTCGTTCTTTCCGAAGGACTTTAACAAAACTTTTTAACCAGACATCGTAGCGAGCTCGGATTTGTTTAACTACTTAGAGTTATATCGAATTATTGGTCCATTAAACAGTTAAAAGTCGAACTTTTTTATTCGGTTCAAAGGTTATTGGTTTGAAAATTTGAGATTGATTTGAAAGTTTCATACTAAAGTCATGATCATTTAGAATTACAAATTTGTTCACTTCGACCAAATTGTATAGTTCTACATCTTAAAACGTGGGCGCATTCATTAATATTGTATATTTGAAGAGCTTAAATTACGTATAATTTGTGATTTCATATTCACACCAAATTTTCAATTGGTATACCGCAAGGTTCAGTCCTTAGTTGTATTTTATTCATAATTTTTATTAACGATACTGTTAATGTTGTGAATCACACACAAATTAAATTATTTGCTGATGATACGCTTGTCTATAAAATGCAAGCCGGATAAAATTGACACTCACATCGATCAGTTGAACTAAGATTTGAATAAGATATTTAAGTGGCTATACTTTTCCAAACTTTCACTCAATGTAAATAAATCAATAAATTCCTTTTTTAAAGCCGATATTAATAAACAATCATCCGATCGAAGTTCTCTGTGAGTTCGAAGTTTGAATATCTTAGAATCACAATCGATGATCGCCTGTCTTTTTCGACACACTTCGACAACTTGATTAAAAAACTTAATTCCAAATTTTATGTTCTGAAACGTTGCAAAAACAAATTGAATTTCGAAAGAAAATAAGCTGTATGTCTTATCCTTAGTCTTGTCCCATTTTCATTATTGTTCATCCATTTTATTTTTATTAAGAGTAGCTTAACGAGCTACAAAAAATTATGAATCGTTTCGCTCGATTAATTTTAAAGGTGCATTATCGAACACCTCGTATTGAAATACTCTCGAGGCTGAATTGGCTAAGCGTAAAACAATTAACCTCCCTTAATACTATACTTTTTATTCATAGAATTGCTTTAAGAAACTGTCCTTTTTATTTATATATTTATTAAAGCACATAGTCAAGGTAGCCGACACCAGGGGCGTAGCCAGGGGGGGGGGGGGCATAGGGGGCCCGGGCCCCCCCTACGAAAATCTGATAATTGTTTTATTAAGTATTTATAGAGAAGAACCAGTTAATGTAGAGGAAGTGATGAAAGAAATGTCAAAATCAGCACGAAAAATTTAATTTAATGTATGAATAATGAATTAAATATTTAAACTTATGAAGAATGAATATAGATTTAAGGATATAAAATAACGGTTTTATAATTTTCGAAAATGGGCCCCGCCCCTTAAAAATTTTCTGGCTACGCCCCTGGCCGACACGCATCGATATCCCACCAGAATTAATAACGAATAACAACCAAAACCTCACACGAAAGCAGCATCCCAGAATAGTTTATTTTATAATGGAATTAAACAGTATAATGATTTTATAACATTCAAAGACTCTCTTGGATACCGATAAATCTATCTTACTCAAATCCATTGTTAACAAATAATGTTCAATTAAATTTTCCACTCCATTAAATCAAGTAATTTTGATATTCGTTATTTTAATGGGAACTCTTACGTCAGATAGTTTAATAATGAGAAGCAGTTAAGTGCCTTGCCGGTCGAATAGGTGAGGCGCTTGGCTCAAATTTGGGATGGTAACTCGAAGGTCGTCGGTTCGAATCCAGCCATTTCCAAATTTGTTCTTTTTCGGAAGTTTAGATACTTCGACTGCTTAATGTACGAGATCAAGCCATAATTGGGCATTTGGGCAACGTTGGATTAAGGAACGGGTCAGGAACTTGAAGTGTAGCGGGAGAAATAGGAACGAGAGCTACAAGATTACCCACGAATGGAATATTGTTAGAACGGACCTGAAAAGTATCACGTCACGCCCACAAAAGATCGAAACGAGAGCCTTAGTTTATTTGAAACCTAGATATGAAGATTAGAAGTTTGATCCTACATAATACTAATTCATATGTATACAAATACAAAAGTGTAAAATGTGAATTGTTTCCGGACAGTATGTCGTCAATAAATGCAATAAAGTGCAATTAAAAATGAAAAAAAAAAAAAGATTTAAATTTTTTAACGGTAGAAATAAGTAAACTGAGATAAATTGTGACAAAACATTGCTAAATTTAGTTTGCTGAAGTCGATTGAAAAGGTAAGAGCGGAACTTAGCAGTTACCGTATCATCACATCCATAAAGTGCTAATTTTCGTAGAAGAAGGATGCGATCAACGGTTTCGAATGCTCTTTTGAAGTCTTGAAATACTGCAATGATTGCATAATTTTTGTCTACTTCTTCTTTACAATCTGATAAGATTTTTTTATATATATATATATAAGTATATATATATAGGATGTTTCACAGCTGTGGAATTTTCTGAACCCAGATTGCTCATTACAAAAAAGGTTGTTTGCCTCAAAGTGCTTAAGTAATTAGTCTTTAACTATATGCTCTTGAATTTGGCTCATAACACATAGTGTATTAATAGATCTCAATTCAGAGGTATTTAGTGAGTCTTTTACTTTCTGGATAGGTGTGTGTGACAGTGCTTATTTTACAATAATTAGGAATGCTGCCATGGGAGAGAGATGAGTTTATGAAATTGGTCAAAAAAATTAAGAATCTAAGGTTACTTAAGGCATCGTTACAACTCTTTCAGAGATGTTATCATTGTAAAAATTTTTTTGAATATCGGAAGCATATAATCGAACTGTGTTATGATCTAAAGGTGCAAATTTGAATTTGGGTGGAGAGGAATGTATTGTCATCTCATAAGAGCTTTTAATATAAGGGATTTCATAAGTCAGTTTAATTATTGAAGAGACAAAATGAGTGTTAAGCATATCACTTACATATTAATTTCGGATCGTTAATTTAAAATTTTTTTAAAATGCAACGAAGATGCTTTGCTAAAGGCAAACTTTTAGAGCTTTTTGCTTATTGACTCGCATTTTAATGCTTATCAAATACTGATCGTTGAAAAAAAATGCGCACAAGTCTCGCGATCAATAACACGGTATAAACTATAATTAAATCTTTAAGATGATAAAGTTGCTGAAAAATTCTATTTTTGATAGATGCCAAGAATGAACAACTCTTAAACACTACCTTCAAATCGAGATGAATAATCCTTTTACTGTGCATATATTCAACAGCATCACAAATTTGTCTGATGAAACAAGCGCAAGCTCGCTCAGTTAGAACAAAATCCGTTTCAATGACCCTATCAAAAAGCTCACCTAAATACATATAAAACATGTTAAAACTGTTGAATAATGTAATTTTTGGATGAAATATTTCATTAGTTCCGTAAACGTCTAACAGACAAAGAACATGCTCTTGATCACTAGTACGGTTGAGAATATGCTTTTTTAAAAACCTCACAAGATCCCAATAAAGTGCGTGTTTTAATTAGATTTTTTAAGTGGCGGAAGCATATTTAGTGACATTCATATTTAGTGCAGTTGATTTATTTTTCTTTTTGCAAAAAGGGTTTTAATATATTAATAATTTTTGTTCAAATATGTTTTCAAATACTCTCAAAAAAAAAGTGAAATTGGATGATTCCACACTGGTCTAATTTTAAAAAAAAGGGGAAATGAGGTGTTTTTGGAAAAGTTTCACCATAAGTCTTCGGCGATGTCTTATTTTAAAGCTGATATTAATACACGATGATTTCCCAAGTTGCAAATTTTCTGTTTTTTGAGATTGTTTATTCAAACTAAATTTGCCTTGAGGTACCAATTTAGAAAGATGCAGGTTTGTACTATTTAAAAAATATAAAATTATTAGGCTAGATCTTAATTCAGGTAGTTTGCTGCAGTCACGAAGTTTTGTAGAGTGATTTTCCCCTATTTTTTCATACTAAATCTGTCATTATTCCTTCTGGTAGATATTTTTCGAATAGTGTGATATACTAAAATATAGGTCCTATTATATGCTTTTAGAAACCAAAAATCATTTTTCACTTGGTTGAGTGATTTTCGTGCAAATTGAGTCTGAATAAACAATCTCCAAAAACAGAAAATTTGCCTATACCCAACTTTGAGGACCTGCTACTCAGCACCAGATGAACCAAAACACTTGAAACTTGGGAAATCATCGTGTATCAATATCAGCTTTAAAATGAGACATCCCCGAAGACTTATGGTGAAACTTTTCCAAAAACACCTCATTTCCCCTTTTTTTAAAATTAGACCTGTGTGGATTCTCAGAAATTTTGTCGTAAGTCAGTTGACGACATTGAATGAACTATAGCAAATTATTGGTCTAAATTAGGTATAACAAAGTGTATATTGCTGGAAAGGCCTTTATTTCAGCTATTCAATTCCTTCCATTTTTGGAATTTTTGAAATGATTCTATCGGTTTTGTATCGGTTCAAAGTTAATGTAAAATGAACTGCTAATAACATTCGATCAGAATGGTAGAAATTAAAAATTCTTTTTTGGCATTAAGAGCCTGTAAAAATCAATAAAGCTTTTAAGGGTTTTCAATTTTTTTCCCATTAGTGTTACATCATTTTTAATGCACCAAAACTTCAAAATTCAAACGCTAATAACTCGAGAACTATAAAAGATATGATTATGAAACTTTTGCTGATTGATTCACTTTTTTATGTAGTTTAATTAACAGGCACTGAATTTGACCCCAAAAGCTTTGTGATACATGTGTCCCAAACATGTGATACATCATTTTAAAAGTATTTTAATGCTGATTATGATCGCATTAATAGATTTGTTATAAAATTTTAAATTTTTATAGAAAAAAGTGAGACTGTTGAGAAAATATTTATGAATTCACTCCAAATTCAGTGCCTGTTAATTGAACCGATACAAAACCGATAGAACCATTTCAAAAATTCCAAAAAAGGAAGGAATTGAACAGCTGAAATAAAGGTCTTTCCAGCAATATATACTTTTTTATACCTAATTTGGACCATTAATTTGCTATAGTTCATTCAATGTCGTCAACTGACTTACGACAAAACTGCTAGGAATCTTCCAATTATTATGGCATGCCCAACTGCAAATTAACTGTAAATTTTTTGGTGACTTCAAAAAAAAGATGCTTCCGCGACTCCTATTAGTGTTTTTCTTCATCTTCTAGACCGAAATATGTCTTTCCATTTTAAGGTTATTTAATTTCAGAAATCATCAGAGAAGATGAGTAGTTATTAGGACATATTACAACACAGCGTACTCGGGTTCGAGTCACGGTAATTAATAACAATTTGTCAAAAACTCGATCAAGAGTATAATCACTGTAGATCTCTCTATAGCTGCCATATGTGTACACTAATGTAAAACAAGTCGAGTTCGATAAGAATCGAGCCCACGACCACAAACGAGGCGACCTCTGACCACTCGTTCATTCATTTTTCTTTTTTGTTGGACTGATGTCTTCTTATTCCATATGCTCAACATCCTGCTTTGGTTTTTGATGTTGATTCTTATTAATGCGCTCGTTTTGCTTTTTTCTTTGATTCTTTTTCCAACGTTTTCCTCTTTCTTTATTGTTTTGTTGGTTGTTCAAGTTATTTTTATTTCCCTGGTTTGAGGGTTTGTGATTTGGAAGAGGATTTGTATTCCTTGGTTTGTGGTTGACTGGAGCTTGTTTTTTATGATCAGGCTTTTGTGTACTAGATGTTGATCGTTCCACATTCTTCTTTCTCCATTGCGGTTTTGGTGCATGTTGGACGTTTCTGGTTAATCGCTCAGAAAGATGTAGAATTGGAGGATTGTTTCTCCGTTGTCCATATGAATAATGGCCTGCTGTTTTGTTTTGATTTCGGTTGTTTCCATTCTGTGATTTTGATTTCCACTTTTCAATTATTTCTTGTCTGGTTTTACAACCTGTGAAAATTGCTGTGTGTTTTTCACCGCAGAAGAAACATTTGAGTTTTCCGAGTGGAACCTTGTTGGTCTCTTTCGATATGTACTGGCACGTTTTCGAGTCATGTTGCTCAGAGCATCTGAAGCAAACGGACGGTTTGTTACAACCGTTTTGTCCATGACCAAACTGCAGACATTTCGAACATTGAGATGGTCCAGTTTGTCTATTTTTGTAGTCAGCTCATTTAATTTTAAAACTGCTGACAATTTTGATTTTTCTGAGCAATTCCTGGAAGTTTCCACCTTGTTCTACATCTTTTTTTAAGTACACGAGGTAGTTCTGGTCGTCTTGTTCGTGTCGTTTGTGTTTCATTGTCATTTTGACAATTTTTACTGGTGTGATTTTTAAGCTTTGAAGTTCCTTCTCCAACTCACTGGAAAAAAATTTTCAGATTAAACTTTCTTTATCAAGCTACTGGCTTAGTAACGAGTAGTGGCTTCTAACGTAAAAATAGGTGAGGATGGTCTAAATATTCCCATGAAGCGTGATCGGCTTCATTACTAATTTTTGAGTTCTTATTATTCGAACTTCGAATTTTCGAGGTTCTTATTTTCGAAGTTATTATTTTTAAAAAAGTTCGTTTTAAGTTCTTGTTTTTCGAGTAATTTGTAATTTTAGAGTACATTTCTACTAGTTATTATGATTAAGTAGTGATAACACTGTGATTACATGCATTCGTTAAACATATAATCTTCAAAATACAGCTAGTTTTTTAAAAAATTAAATGCTTCTAAATCATGCAAAACGCATAGCCATTCCTTAAATTTCATTTCACGCCTTGTCTGATGAAATTGCATTAAAAAACGTATCAATATATGTATACATATATAAATATATATATATATGCTTCCTATTTCCATAATTTGTTGATTTTTTGCTTGGGGTTTTTTGGCTCCTGTGCCTACATACTGGAACTGACCAAAAAAAATTATAAACCATTTATGTGTATTTTTATTTCCTACAGATATAATATCCTTTATATAAGGTAATAATGCTTACTTTTCTCAGAAACTTCAAAAAACATGAAAACCAATATTTACATCTTTGCTTGGAAGTTAAATCAAAGCATGATCAGCAGAACATGTTCTTGATCAGAGAGTGTGATTTCTGTCGTACCCATTTGTATGAAGAGTACGCCAATTTAGCGTCATCAAATAAAAAAATTGATTTCTAAAAAGCATGCTTAGAACATGTTCTTTGTCTGATAGGTTAACCTTTAAGAATTTTCTTCATTATTTACCTCCTTGTATCAGTTCCATGAAACAATAAAGTTTATTTCCATAATCAAAAGCATCATAAATAACAATTATTGCTGGATGATGCAGAGATGCAAGAATATTAATTTCTGTTTCCATCATTATTTTCTCTTTTTTCTTTTTATATCCTACTACTTTCACAGCTAATTCCATGTTATTTTGTCTTTCTTTACAGTAGAAAACTGTCCCAAATGATCCTCGACCTTGAAATGATTTAAAAATATTAAAAAAATTATCCCGCTTGAAGTTCAAGGCTTAGTAGAGGTAAAATTATTTAATGGACTCAAATATGTTTTAATTTCTCTTTAATGTCTCGATGCCGTAGTGACTTGTGTCCAAAACTAATTTATTAACTCTATTATATCTTAGTTTCAAGCGGGAAAACAGTTTAAGAAAATTTAAAGAAATTTTACCTAGTTCAGGAAGAATTATATATTTATCCAATGGATTTTCGTCATTTTTGATTTTTACATCTCGATATTCAAATGGTGTATTTACATCTAAGTTAAAATCATACATTTTAAAAATTATTAAGGAATAGTCAGTTAGCAACGTTAACAAAAGAAAACTAAACCAAAAAATAAGTTCACTTTGGCTCCTTTCTATTTTCAATTTCAATGTACAAGTGAACCCCAAAGCTGTGATTTTAAAACTGTTGTATAATAAGAAAATCATAGTAAACATGATATGAAAATCAGTTAATAAACATATCACAAAGATATAACATGGCGCAGTCGAAAATTAGTGATTTGGTGACTCCAATCGACTTAAACGCAAACTCTTTGAGTGAAGAATGGAAGAGATTTAAGAGTCAAATAAACTGTTTGTTTGAAATCAACGAAATTAACAGCAAAAACGACAAAATCAAAATTTCATATCTGACGTTACTCATTGGAAATGATGCAGCTGACTTGTTTGATCATCTAGGATTGTCTGAAGAGGATAAGAACTGTTTTGAAAAAGTCATCAATGGTTACGAAAATTGCTTTAGACTGAAAACAAGCATTTACGTGAATCGGATGAAGTTCTATCAAGCGATCCAAGACGATACAGAGACATTTGTTCAGTTCGTGTCAAGAGTTCGAAAGTTGGCTACAAAGTGTGACTTCAAGGAGAAAGAAGAACAAATTAGAAATCGGTTGGTGATCGGAATGAAAAATTCAAAAATGCAAGAAAAATTAATTGTTGAAGGAGAATTTTCATTACATGCTATAATTGAGAAAGTGCGTTTCCATGAATGGCAGATCGATGAATTGGCAAACTTGAAGGAAGAAAAGAATTTGAAGATCAGCAATAAAAAGTCTTCAAATAACTACAATTGTACCAGAGAGTCTTCGAAAATCTTTACGCCTGCAGCTAGCAAGTATATGAATGACTGTCAGCTTGAATGTAGCGAAGCAGTATGTAAAGAAGGAGGAAAGGTTGGTGCAATGAAAAACAAGAATAGTAGCAAAGAAGAGTTTATTGTTAGTTCTGATTCAGTCAAGTACGTTAGTAGTCTGATTTGGCATAAGAATTTAAGAATTAGTGACAAGTTGGTTAAATTTAAATTAGATACAGGAGCACAAATTAATACAGTTACTGAAGGAATAGTGAAGAGTTTTAAGCAAAATTTTGAAATCATTCCAAGTAAGGTTAAGCTTCAAGCTTACTCGGGTGGGCTTATCAAGCCCATCGGCAAAGTTATATTGCCAATAATTAGTGATAAGAATACATTCTATGAAGAATTTAAAGTTTTAAAAGGAGATTTCGAGCCATTGCTAGGATTACAATCCTGTGTAAATTGGTGTAAATATGAATTTGATTTCGCGCATTGACGCAATTAATAATGAAAAACATCTTCATAATGATACAGAAATGGTTAAGTTTAAACAGCATTATAAGGATGTTTTTGAAGGTTTAGGTAAATTTAAGAAGCCTTTCAAATTATATTTACATGAAAAAGCTATTCCATTTGCCGCGGCACCTCGTAAAATTCCATTAAAATTAAAGGATAAAGTCCAAAATAAATTGAATGAGATGGAAAATCTAGGTGTGATTGAGAAAGTGAATGAACCGCGTGAATGGATTAATAATATTGTAATTGTTGAGAAAGTTGATAGAGTAAGAATTTGTATGGATCCAAAACACTTGAATAATGCCCTTAAGAATTTTCGTTATCCAATTCCATCACTTGATGAATTGAAGCAGGATTTAAAGGATGCTCAATTATTTTCTGTTTTAGATTTGAAAGATGGATTTTGGCATGTTGAATTAGACGAGGATTCTAGGAAATTAAATTAATCGTTTACCTTTCGGCATCAAAATAGCTTCAGAAACTTTCCAAAAATATATGTATGATACCTTTGGAGATTTGAAAGGTGTCAAATTTTATATTGACGACATTATTATTTTTGGAAAGGATTTAAAAGAGCATGACTTAAATGTTAGAGCAGTTATGCTAAGAGCCAGAGAAAATGGCATTAAGTTCAATTCGAAAAAAGTTCAGTTTACTGAAACTTCGGTCAAGTTTTTTGGCCATATTTTTTCGAAGAATAATGTTAGGATTGACAAAGCTAGAATTGAAACAATCACGGACATTCCAGTTCCGACTAATAAAAATGATGTTCAGAAATTTTTAGGTGTTGTCAATTATATGCGAAACTTCATTCCTCATTTACCGAAGTTAACGCATAATATTAGAGATTTACTTAAAAAAGATAGTGAATTTGTTTGGCAAGCTCAACATCAGGTTGAATTTGAGAATCTTAAATGTGTTATAAAAGATTCAGCTTGTTGTACTTTATTCGATGAAAAAATACCTTTAGAGCTTGAAACGGATGCATCGTCGTATGTTTTGGGTGCATGTTTGAAGCAAGGTGAAAATATCATATGTTATGCATCTAGATGTTTGTCTGATATTGAGAAAGAATATGGACAGATTGAAAAAGAATTTTTGGCAGTATTATTTGGGTGCAAAAAGTTTCATGATTATGTTTATGGTCGTCGTGTGATTGTGAAGTCGGATCATAAGCCTCTTGAGAGAATCATGCTTAAAGATTTGTCAAAGATAGGATCCAGAAGACTACAAAGATTACGTCTTAAGCTTTATAAGTATGATTTGCATTTAGACTATAAACCACGTAGTAAGATTCCCATTGCTGACTATTTATCTCGTTACACAAGTTGTAACGTTGATAAAGACTATGAAGAAAAAGTGATGAAGCAAATGGTTCATACACTGAGCATAGGAGATGAAAAGTTAAAATTGTATCAGTTAGAAACTGATAAGGACAGTGATTTAAAGTTTCTTGCTGATTATTACAGTAAAGGTTGGCCGACTGATAAGTCGAAAGTTCCAGACAACGTAAAGTCTTATTATAAAATGAGAAATGAGATTTATATATCGCAGGGATTAGTTTTCTTTGAGGATCGATTGATCGTTCCTAAGTTTTTGCGTGAAAAAGTTTTGTGTGATTTTCATGAAGGTCATATGGGAATGACTAAAACCTTGAAATTCGCTAAAGAGTCTGTATTTTGGCCAAGTATGGCACAGAGCATAGAGAATCTTGTTAGTTCTTGTGAATTATGCAACACGTTTGCAAAATCGAATAGGAAAGAGCCAATTATTCAGCATGAGATTCCTCCTAGAGCTTTTGAAAAGGTTGGATGTGATGTTTTAGAATTGCATGGAAAAAATTATTTAGTGTTGATTGACTATTTTTCCAAGTGGATTTGCTGCAAATATTTACCATCCAAGAATTCGAGTTCGATCATTTCTAAGTGGATAGAAATATTTGCAGATCATGGCGTTCCTAGAGAAATAATAGCTGATAACATGCCATTTAATTCGAGTGAATGTAGATCGTTTGCTAATGAATGGGATATTTTAATCATAACATCAAGTCCGCATTATCCACAGTCAAATGGTTTAGCAGGAAAGGCTGTAGGAATTGTTAAAAACATGATAAAAAAGACGAAAAATAGTGACCAGTTGTGTGTAGCTTTAATGAATTACAATAACACACCTTTGGGAGATTTAGACTTGTCTCCATCACAACTGGCACAGAATCGTCGTATGAGAACAAAAATAGTCACAAAAACCGAATCACTAGAACCACGCTTAAATAAGAATGTGGAAGAAAAGTTGAAGCATAAGAACTTAAAAGCCAAATTTTACTATAATAAAAATGTTTTTCCGCGAGGGGAATTTTCTGTTGGCGATAAAGTTTGGCTTCAATTGCAAAACAATACTTGGAAAGATGGAGAAATCATTGCTAAATGTAAACAACCCAGATCTTATGAGATCTTGCTTAGTAATGGTTCCATTTTTCGGAGAAACTCAAAGTTTCTCAGGTTAAACAAAAGCAGCAATATGATTAATCTTGAGGATAGGAATAGTATAGGCGATGATGATTCATTCATTGAAAGTTTTTTCGACTCATTGCAACCACCTCAAGTCCCAAATGCAACTACTGCAACTCCTCAACAAAACAACGTTAGTCCAGCTATCATAAATCAACCACAACTACGAAGATCATCGAGAATACCACAACCAACGAAAAGATATGGACTAACTTAAAGGGGGAGATGTTGTATAGTAGAAAATCATAGTAAACATGATATGAAAATCAGTTAATAAACATATCACAAAGATATAACAAAAACAGTATAGAAAACTATGAATGCTTATGTTAAGGTCGTATTAAGCGGTGAAATGGCATCAGTGACCTAAATGGTAGAGCGTTGGCCTTACGTGCCAAAGGTCCTGGGTTCAATCCCAGGCCATGTCTAATTTTCGAAGCTCTTTTTCCATTTCACCGTTCTAGTTACGAAGCTCGGTTCGTGTGTTGGGTGTAGTATTGATGACTTTGGCATAGAATATGCCTCCTTTGCTAGGTATACAAGGATATACTAGCATCTGGATGACTTCTTTACGGCATCTTGCGCACACGGATTGTGACTGGGTACATTGCAGGGTACATCAGGTCTTATGACGTACTCGTGTCTTTGCAATGTACAGAGCTTGCAAGTGGTTCGGATCCCACTATAAACTGTAGGTCTAAAGGGTGTGGTACAATAGATTCTGTTCTAATTTGAATCGCAGTGCCTCCAGCTGAAAGGCTGGGCCCTTCACACATTATATATAAGGTCGTATTTGACAGAGCAAAATTGTAGAAACATGAAGCGTATTTAAAAATTGTCAAAAAAGAACTGATTTTTTTATATTTGAAAAAAAAGATTGTTTTTCTAGCACCCACACTGGTCTAATTTAAAAATAAAAAAGCGGAAATGAGGCATTTTTGGAAAAGTTTTACCATAAGTCTTTGGAGATGTCTCAATTAAAAGCTGACAAAAATACCAGATGATTCCCTAAGTTTTGAGTTTTTTCGTATTAGTTTTACGTTTATTGAATAATACAAACCTTCATCTTTCAAAATTAATATCTCGTTATATCCAGAGATTGCTACTTTTGGAGTTATAGTCAATCAAAGTTGGGTAAAAATGCAAATTCTTAAAAATTTTATTTCTCAAAAATTATTCAAAAAATCATCTTTTGCTCTAAACAAGCTTTAATTTGAATTTTTTTGTTTAATACTTGATTGTTAGGGAACCAAAAATCATTTTTCATTTGGTTGAGGAGTTTTCGTGCAAATTGAGTTTGAATAAAGAATCTCAAAAAAACAGAAAATTTGCCTATACCCAACTTTGAGGACCTGCTAATCAGCACCAGATGGTCGAAAAAACTCAAAGCTTAGGGAATCATCTGGTATTGATGTCAGCTTTCAAATGAGACATCTCCGAAGATTTAAGGTAAAACTTTTCCAAAAATGCCCCATTTGCGTTTTTTTTAATTAGAGCAGTGTGGCATCCGATCCTACTCGCGCAAATTTTTTTGGCAAATTTCCCAAAACTGAGTATTCTTCTAAATTCTTTCCGACTTTTGTTAAAAATTTCTTGGTCGTTCATGGGAAAAAAAACTGAATTAAACACGATTAAAAAACTTTTTAAATCATTTTGTTGTATATTTTTTTAATCAAAATTAAATATAAAAACTGATTTTTTTCTTGCGCTACTTAATTTAGAAATTCTTACCATCTACTGGAGTAATATTTTCGTCAACATAAATCATTTTTTTTTTATTTTTCAAAACATGAACAATTTAATGCTATTAAGAGTTTGTCTTTGAAATTATATTGACTTTTAATATTTTTATCTTTGATAATTTTTTTGCTCCTTTAAAAAAAACTGCTCGTGAAATTAAAAACGAGTTCACTCACAACAAAATCAAAACTGCGAATAAGACGGAATTTTTCTCAACGAACTTGAACGTATAAATATAAACAATAAAAAAGAAAGAAATTATTTCCTATAGGGGCCATTCACTTATTACGTAACGCTTTTAGGGGGAGGGGGGGGTCTAAGATTTTGTTACGGTTCAAACAAGGAAATTTTTTTTTCATACAAATTTTGTTACGAGGGGGGGAGGGGGGGTCTAAGAAGTCATTTTTTCGCGTTACGTAATAAGTGAACAGCCCCATAGAAAAAAAACGCTTTTGTCTACATCTTGTTTGTGTGTTGTCAAGTGATTTTTGTAGTATATATAAGCTGTTTATTTTTATTATATTCACACCGCACTATGGGATAAAATCGATTTGAATGAAATTGTTAAATTTTAACAATGACCATTGTAAAATTTTTCGTCAACAAAAAAATTGTAAAATTAACAATAGTTAAGTTATTTAAAATTTAATATTAAAGATGACCACTGTAAAATTAGCAATCACTATCGTTACGTTACAATCTTGTCGTTAATTGATTGTAAAAACTGGTAAAAACAATTTTAACGATGAATTTGTCAACTTTTTTTTTCAATGTATTCCCGGTGACAATACAATATTTTAGAACCTTGGAATCATAATAATGCTTAATTATAGTACAATTTAATGAAAACTTTTTTATATGGGAAAAAATCCAATGTCAATGGTATGAAATTTTGATTTGTTTAAAATATTATACTTGAAATGCTCAAAAGTCATTTATATGATTCATTATAGTTTAATTAATATTACTAATTATTAATTATACTGTAAAATGGAGAAGCAAAAGATTTTCTAGGAGAATAAAAAAATTGACAAGTAATTTATTCATGAATATTCGTAAGTGAAAATTTGAATTTTCAAAAAAACTGTTATCTACAAGTCCGTTACGAATTAATGCAAAACAACAATCTTTCTTTATTTCAAATTTGGAATTATTGTAGTTTAAGTTACATTTCCTCGAGTCTTATTTTGACACCAGCCTGAATATGGCTTTAATTCAATTATATCTCGATTAATTATTAATTTTGATGAATGAGATTTACATATATCATGAAAATGTGGCATAAAAAGTTTAAAAAAATTGCCGAGCGAGAATTAATGCAAAATAACTATCAATATGCGATGTGCATTTAGCACACATAGTTTGAGCATAAATTTATGCTGTTTTTAATGTATTACATTATTTATAACATTTCACCAATTTAATTAAATTGACTCTTCTATTTATTAACGGCTTAACGTATTTTTGCATAACATATAAATGACATTCATTGAATTTAAATTTGAAAAATCCGTTATAAGTACGTTACATATGGATGTGATTTGCAATTTTATGTTAAGAATCCACACATTATGCTGTAGGATGGTACAGATAAACACAAAATCTTTAAGATTGATTTTTAAGGTACTTTAAATGTTCCTTTCAAAAACACAGAAAGCGCACATAATTGAAGTTCAGGACATTTTTTAAAGATTTTCATGTGTTTCCAGGTATGACTTAAATTATATAAAACGAATGAAAAATTTTGATAGTCGTTACTAATTACGTCTGGATAAACCCTCGAAGAAAAAAGTGACAAAATTGATTTTGACTAGTTTCGCCCCTAGTCCAAAATTGAAAATTGATTTTCTATGGTGTACTTTGGTCTAAAACTTTTTTTGGATGATTTATTTGAATTGACACAATTCTGACATAAATCACACACCAATATTATTTTTTGTAATGCATAGCTTAAAAAAAATCGAAAGCTAAAATTTCGACTACCCCACCTGAATTTTGTTCATACTCTTCACTGTGAAAACGAAAAATAATTTTCTTTATCTTAAAACACTTGACAAAATAGCGAAATAATTCAGGATAGTTAACTTTTTAATAATATTTTAAGGTTTACGAGAAAATGTGGTTCAAATAAGTGTGAAGTATGGTCGAGATTTGGACCAAAATCAGGCATACTGGTTCATAGTGTTCCCGAGGGTGACAAACTTCAAACTAAGTGTTTTTGTAACTGACATAATTATGACATAAATTATGTATAACTTTTGAACTGTGTCGATATGGGTCTCGGCCATACTTCACGCCCACCAATTATTTCTTTGATTAGAATATTGTTTCTAAAAGTTTAATAGTGAATGAAGATCTTTAACTCGTTTTAAAAAGTGTTAGCTTAGCTAAAGTAGCTATAAACCTATAAACTTACTGTAATCTATAAACAGTTGAACGTTACGAAGTGCAACGAAGTGGAGTTAAATCAAATTACACCAATTTTGGCAATAACTTGAATATTGCAATTAATCGATTTAGAGGCTTAGGCAACAGATTCAAGCGAGATGCTTTGTATTATCGTGAATACAAAAAGTTCATAAATGAATATGAAGAATTGGGACATGTGACTGAATTGAAAAATTTAACGTCACCATTTGAATCGTGTTATTAACTTCCACATCACGGAGTTGTGAAGGAAGATAGTACAACAACAAAATTACGTGTTGTTTTCGATACATCCTGCAAATCTGCAACTGGTTTGTCACTTAATGAAACGTTATTTATTGGAACAACAGTACAACCAGAATAGGGATTTCATCATATAATTCTTCACAAAACCAATAGCATTAAAAGCTGATATTGTGTCTAAGATGTTCAGACAAATTCTTGTAAATGAATCGCATCAAAATTATCAACGCATAATTTGGAGAGATGGTCCAAATGAGAAATTCAAACATTTCAACTTGAATACTGTAACTTATGGAACATCATGTGCTCCTTATTTGGCAACGAGAGCATCAAATCAACTAGCAGATGATTATCAGCATGTATATAGGCAATTCTCCAGGTAAGTTTTTCAAAAAATCATCCGGAGAATCAAATTTACTCGAAAACTTTCCATTACCAATCATTCCTTTTACATTTAAATCGATGTAAAATGGCAAAAACTATTATATTTTATCTATTTATGTCTTTGAAAGTAGCCAAAGTTACGCCTTTTCAATTTTTTTTGCAAATTTTTGTCAGCAAAAAATGGAATAATCATAAGGAGAATCGAAAATTGAAGGAAAGTAAACACTCATTTTTTATTATGATTATGCAGAAATGTAGTTTTTGAGCTAATCTATCTAACCATTATCATATCACACTCCAATAATTACTATTTAAAGAGAATTTTTGATTCTTCGGTGGATTTTTTTGCTGACAGTAAAAAAATTAAGCTTTTATTTTGCAAATCCATGAAAAAAATGTAAAGCAAATATTTCATAAAAATTAAATTTTAGTCTTAATTTAACACTTCATGGTTGAATTATTGTTGATTCAGTAAGAATCAATTGTAATAAACAGTTTAAAGTTGCTTTAAGCAATCAAAACAAAGAAATTGACAAGATATTTACAAAAAAAAATTTAAAGTAAACAGTAAATGACTGGATTATAAAAGCTCTTTTTTCAAAAACTCAACTCATCTGGAGAATTGCCCAACTTCCAATGATTTTATTGTTTAAAATAATAATTTGAATGAACATCTAGATGAAATTGCATAAATTGGCACAGAAATATTTAAGTTTAAGCTTGAAACTAAAAAGTTATGAGCAGTTTTATGAACTCAAATTATCCATTCCTGAAAATTCTACATCATCGGAGGATATTCTAATGGCTCTACAGAAGGAACTAGACATTTTTTTTACTTAATTTTAATATTAAAAAAATTGTATCGGCGAGTTTTATAAGACTAGTTAAAAATATAAAATGCTTCAATGGAGAAAATTAATGAAAAATAAGAAAAAGTGGTCTCCAATGACCCATTTTCGACGGGGCCTACCTTAAAGTAAAAAATTAATTGATTGTTGCTCTAAGAGTGATATTTTAACATAAAAACATAGCAATTTCAAAAAATATATCAAAATCAGCCGATTTGTTCAAAGTCAAATTGCTCGAGATTGTCTCAGTAACCGAACTCAAGCTGATTGTATGTTCTAAAAGTATATCCAAAGAGCTTTCAAAGTATGTAAAAAGAAAAGTTATAGCAATTTATGTCAAAAATTGCAGTTTTTCTGAAAAAAAAAGACTTTACTACATTTCAAAACTTTACTAAAACTTTACTATAGTATTGATAAAAAATGTAGATCTTGTTCATATCTACAATATAAAAAAAAGATTCATGATCATTTGTTTTAGTAGTGAAGTCCTAGACGAACATAATCATACTGAACACGTAATTTTTTAAACAAAACCTTAAAATTTATAAAGTTAAACGATGCATAATTAAATGTTTATTATCTTAAAGAGTTTCATCAATCCAGTGAATTGTAGTAATAGTTTTAATGGTTCGAGAAAATGCTCTTCGTCGAAACTTTGAAAAGCCACATCTCAGAACTTTGACCCATTTGGCCACTTTTGGAAGTATTTTCATAAATGGGAATGAAAAAGCTATCATTTAGACCACAAAACAAATTTTTGGAAAAGTTTTCGATTTCTGGCCCATAGTGTATGATCGGACGAAAATAAGCTCTGAAACTAAAATATTTTTCAGAGATCGAAGCCGATTTTTTCAACTTAACTCAATTTTTGATTTTCTTGATCGAAAAAAGCCATTTGACACCCATTTCAAGTAATTAAATTGAATATTACGTGCTTTACTATGATTCTGCGAACTATTCTGTCAGCATGTAGCTAAAGTAAGCTCAGAATTTAAAGTTTGAGAATGTTAAGCCGAAATTTAAGCCGATCGCTAACTTGAAATTCTGAGCTTACTATAGCTACATGCTGACAAAATATTTCGCAGAATCATAGTAAAGCATGTAAAGTTCAATTTAAATACTTAAAATGGTAGTTAAATGGCTCTTTTCTATCAAAAAAATCAAAAATTGAGTTAAGCCGAAAAAATCGGCTTCGATCTCTGATATTTTTATCAAATTTAAAAAAATAAATAGAGCAAATTTTTACTTTATTTCGTTCAAGAATTAAACTAAGAAAAAATATCAAAAGATTGTTCCTTTTTTGTATACAGGAATAAATACTATGAAAATATACCTTCTAGAAGAAAATCACCAAGCAGTTTTTATTTTTGGTGATTTGATACTTTTACATTGATATACTTCTGTATAATAATATCATAATTTTAAAGGAAAATTTTTATTAATAAATTACTTTGAAATATTTCTTTATCATTTTATTTTTTAAATTAATGATCAAAAAAGGTTGGCTTTTAATTCAAATAAATCAACCCTGCATTATATATTGACTGAACCATATAAAAAATTTAAATTTAGTAACTGTTGCTTAAAGTTGTTGTTTTTACAAAATGCAGTTTTTCAAATCCTACGATACAATCCTTTATTAATAACAAAAAAGTTAATAGGATAATCAAAATTGATGATACGTTAAAAAACGATTGTAGGATTAAAATAAAAAAAATTGCTCATAAAATTTAAATGTTATTTTGAGAAACGCTATAAAAATGGTACATTTAATAAAACGTTCATAAATCTTGGTCCAGATTATATTTATTCTTTTATGAATCCTCAGAATATTGTGAAAAGTTAAGTTTAGAAATTTTGTAACTGTTTTTTTAATGTGCATAATGGAAATTTATAAGTTATAAAAAAGTGATCAGTTATTAATTTATTTTAATGTTGATGATTTTTCATCAATTTTCTTACTATCCACATATAAAGTTGTATATGATTTAAGGCTAAATTTAATAGCGTATATTAATTACTAAAAAGAGATAAAAAAGAGAGAAAAGTTACTATTTTAATATTTTACGAAAAATAAACAGTTAAAATAATTAAAGAAGATCTTACATCTGCACCCTCCTTTTTGTTTTATTAAGTGTAATTAAAAATTATTAAATGAAGATTTACAAAACAAAAAGTAAAGCAGAAAAAATAAGTTATGCTTACCACAAAACGATTAACTTTTGGTCGAATTGGTGGTAATTTAGGTTCATCATTTTGCATTTGCTCAAAACGAGCTCTTAAGCTATCAGTCAATAAAAAATGTATAAATGACAATCATGTTCAAATTAATTTTGTTTATTGTTTGACAAACCTTTTAGCAGTTTCCATTTGTCCTTCATCCTGTGCTTCGTCAAACAAATTAACTGAACTATTATTCATTTCCTTTTTAATTTCATTTTCTTCCCACTTTTCAAACTTTTCACGGAGTTTTTTGGCACGTTCAACTGATTGTTCTGTTTTTAAGAATTCATCTAAATCTTTTTGAGAAGACTTTATGCAGTTTGATTCCTCTTCAGATTCTTCTTCCGAATATTCTTCATCTTCATCACTATAATCAGGCCCTGAATCATCATTTGTTACATATTTGTCCCTTTCACCTAATAAAAATTTAAACTTTAAAATTTAATTTTATCATTTATATATATATATATATGATAAATATAAATTCTAATCATATTTAATATTTAACATATATTACATACTTTCCGGTGGTGGTGTAAATCGCTTTAAAGGCTTTGGTCCATATGACTTTTCTTCTTTATTTTCTTCCATTTGACGAAACATTGAAAGAACTTTAGATGTTGTTTTTTGAAATTCTAGAATTTCATCTTGATCAGTTGAACGCTTGTCATTTCGAGCAATCTCAAGATCACGATAGTCTTCTTTTTCAGGTGATGAAAGCTTAAAATAATAATAATAAAAAAATTGCTATATCACGTTATTATTGTTGAGCTTACCTTTGTCAGCCCTTGATAATCTCTGGGTGGTGTTATTCTAAAAGACTTTTTTTCTTTTTCTGGTGGTTGATATGCTTCAAAAAATTTAAACTTCGATAAAATATCTGCAGTTTCAATTCGAACATCATCAGCTTTTTGATCAGAACGGACTATATCTTCTTCTGCTACAGTTGACTTTATTTTCAAAAAATATTAAAATTACATTTTTAAAAAATTACCCGAATAGACAAAGAGTTAATGAGCATGCTCAAAATCATCATTTAACGTGCTCACCTGAGCACACTCAGTTGAACATGCTTGTGAGCACATTGTGAATATGCTCACAAAAAAACAAATTTTTTGAAATTTTTTTTTTATTGAGCATGCTCGAGAGCATACTCAATTACCAAACTTAAGCATGCTCACTTGAGTACACTCTTAAGCATACTCGTGAGCACATTGTGAATATGCTCACAAAAAAAACAATTTTTATAATATTTCACATTTTATTGAGCATGCTCATGAGCATACTCAATTCTCAAATTTAAGCATGCTCACTCTTAAGCATACTCGTGAGCACATTGTGAATGTGCTCTAAAAAAACATTTTTTTTAAGATTTCACATTTTATTGAGCGTGCTCAAGAGCACATATATTGAGCATACTCTGAGTATGCTCATGATTTTGTATATACTTCACAAGTCAAAGTTTCTAGAATTATATATAGTTATCTACTTTTTAACTATAAACATTGTTTAAAAACATTTTGAGATCAATTTCGAAGTATTTAACTTTGTTATAGTTTATATATGAGTTTTTGCCATAATAAATTATTAAGGTAAATTGCAGCAGTGGTGTAATGGTTATGGTAATGGTCTTATCAACAGAGCGGTCGTGAGTTCGATTCAAGGTAAAATTTAAAATTTTCTTAAGTGTCTTTTTCAGATTATTAATGAACAAAATTTATTCTAGAACATTTATAAACCTTACAATATTAAAATATATCAAAAAAATAATTTCAAAATTTAATTTTTTTGAAAATTGTGAAATAATGTGAGTACACTCAGTGAGCATGCTCAGAGTACACTCACTGAGTGTACTCAAATGTCACATCATATGACATAAAAAATGTTGCGTGTCACACAACAATTTGAGCATGCTCAAAATTTGTTAAAATAACGTGCTCAGAGCATGCTCATTAGCGTAAAGTAGTGGCATCACTTTTCGTATGAAAGAGCACGCTCACGCGAGCATGCTCAGCACTAAATTTGAGCGCGCTCATAGCGTGCTCTTTGTCTATTCGGGTTAATTAAGTTTTATTCTTTTTTTAATCATTTACTTGAGAGTTTTGCCGCGGAGTTTGTCGAGTTATTGATTTCAAATTTGCGGATGGTGAAGATTCTTGATTTGGTGATTTAGAAGCAGTTGCATCCAACTCAAGAAATAGTGAACGAGATTGTTTGCTTATACCTACAAATAAAATCATATAACGCATACAACTTAATAATTAAAAATGATTTAACCCCCTTTTACCCTTTTCAAATACTGCCATTTCCTCTTCTTTAAGAGATTTTTTCATATCAGTTTCGTCGTAAATTTCTCCTTTTTCAAATTTTTCCTTGATTGATTTTGCTTTATCACCAATTTCTACATCTGACTTTTTACTGCTAGAAGTAATTGTTAGTTCACTTTCAGCCACTGCTTGCTGATACATTTCCTTAATTTTTGCTTGTTTACCCAAAAAAAGACGTGAACGAATATTTTGTAATTCTTGTTTTCGCTCTTCACGGCGCTCCTCTTTACTCATCAATTGGCCACTTTCAAATTTAAATTTAATATCATACATCTCTTTAAATGAAATTGGTTTTTCTTTTTGAGCTCGTTTTGCACGAATCAACTCAATGTCTTCATGATTTTCATCATCTAATTCATCTTCGTCCTCCGTAGAAGAGTTTTCATAGCTTATCCCATTAAGGCTATCATCTACAACTCCAACATCCATTCCTTTTGCTTGAAATCGTGCTAACTTTGATAGAATTGATGTGCTTCGTTTAACATTATTTCCCTTGTCTAACTCCACTTTTGATTCTTGTTGACCCGCATTTTCAAATAGCTGAAACCTTTGACGTAAATTTATTTGATGCAACTCTTCTAAACCTAAATCAGTTTTATCCGATGACTGAAAGAATTTTAAAAAAATTTAAAAAAAATTTTTCTTTATCTAAATTTGCTTGGATATGATTAAACAAATCATTATAGGACATCTACTTACACGAATAACATCAGGTGGAAGTTCTATTGGTTGATTTTCTAAAATGATCATCTCATGTTTTTTGATTTTGACTGGCTCATTATTATCTTCCACCATTTTTGGCAAAAATAATATTTTAAAGTGTGGTTTGCAATAGAGAATGCCTTCATGACTTTGATAAGTGTCAACACTATAGAAAAATTAATATATTAAAATTGTCATATATTTAAAATAAAAATTAATACTTTAACTGTTTGCTGCACTCTACGCAACGAAAGCATGCACGATGCCAGAACTTCTTTTCAGCTTTGATCTGTTCCATTTGAAAGACAACTTTTTCACATGCATGGCATTTCTTTTCACCATCAGGGCTTAATCCCTGAAAGGACAATAATCGTTACAAGTTATGTAATTATTAATATAATTATCTGTAATTATAATAATTTTTTTTTGAAAAAAATCAAACCTTCTTAAACATGTGAAAAATAAATATAAAACACCTTCTTGAAGGTGTTCCATTAGTTAAAAGTTCTAAAGTTTTTCAGTTTAGTTGAATGTTATCACAATGATAAAATAAATTAATTATAATTCATTTATTAAGACAATCATTGATAACGACATGTTTCTTAAAATAAAGAGTTTAAAGATTAACATAAAGCTTTTATGCAAGAACAATGTTCCTGCTGGGCAAGTCCACTAGTGAATTTATGATTTTTCTGTCTTAATTTTCCGCAAATACTTTTTTAAATAATTACTTTTTTTTCAACATTAAGACTTTATTTTGTGTATTAACTCAACATTATAATGTGGTCTAATTTTAAAAATATTCGGAAATGAGGCACTTTTTGGAAAAGTTTCACTATAAGTCTTCAGAGATGTCCCATTTGAAAGCTGAATTTCAAGTTTTTTCGTCCATCTGATGCCAAGTAGCAGGTCCTTAAAGTTGGGTATAGGTGTATTTTCAGTTTTTTGAGATTCTTTATTCCAACTCAATTTGCACAAAAACTACTCAATCAAATGAAAAACTATTAGCAAATTATAGTACCTTTATTTTGAAATATCAATAAACTGAAAACCGCTTTGCTCAATAAAAAGTTGAAGCAGTTTGAGTGAATTGAGAAAAGGATCAAGACGATAACCATCAAAGGATACCCAAAAATTTTTTTTAAAAAAAGGTTTTTTTAAAAATCATTCATAAATAGCCAAACAATCAAGTTTTAGACTAAAAAATTCAAATTAAAACTTGTTTAGAGCAAAAGTTGATTTTTTGAATGATTTTTTAGAAATAAATTTTTTAAAATTTTGCATTTTTACCCAACTTTGATTGACTATAACTTTAATGAGATACTAATTTAAAAAGATAAAGGTTTGAACTATTCAATAAATATAAAACTTATAGGCTAGCTCTTAATTCAGGTAGTTTGCGGCTATCACGAACTTTTATAGTATAATTTTCCCGATTTTTTCATACTAAATCTGCCACTACTCCATTTGATAGAAATTTTTCAAATATTGTGATATTTCAAAATATAGGTGCTATTATGTGCTTTTAGGAACCAAAAATCGTTTTTTCATTTGGCTGAGTAAGTTTCGTGGACGAAAATACTTGAAACTTGTCAAATCATCTCGTATTGATGTCAGCTTTCAAATGAGATATCTCCGAAGACTTATGGTTAAACTTTTATCCAGTTGCAGAAACAATAGAACTTTAGTAAATTACTGACACAATCATTATCTATTTTATTTCAACTAAATTTAAGTAAAAACTTCGAGTCGAAATTCGGTATGTTATTGTGGATTAGCGTTACTTTGGAAAAAATGAAAGAAAATTATACATAGTTTAAGAAAATAGAAATTACATCATATAACGCAAATAAATTTTAGTAGAACAGTCCACAAAGTTGAAAATTTGGCTCTGAAAGTGAAAGTTCCACTTTTTTCTTTGCAAGCAACGCTCAATAAAGTTGAAATATCTCATTAATTAATGCATAACTTAAAAGAATTAGACAAAATGAAAGAAAACAACTTTTTATATAAGCTACTTCACACATATGGGCGCTAAAGCTCTCAAATTAAGAGATTGTATCTTAATAGAGAAGAGATATATATTATATATTACTTAAGAGATTATATATTAGATGATTCGATTCAAAGGCGATTTTTTGGGAAAATCAATCCGTTTAATTGCTCTTACACAAGGCCATAAAATTTCATTGATTTTTTGCATATTTAGACTTTATAATAAATAATAAGGCTACTACAGGACATGCATAAGTCATAAAGTATATAAAGATGTTAAAAAAACATTTAAAATGAATAACATTTCTGGTTCCAATTTTCATTTGTGAAATAACCCTTTTTAGGTATTCTTTTACTTTTAGTATCAAAAATTATTGAAAAATCATGCGGAACAAAAAATAATAGATGTTAATCAATTATCCAATACTATTTTGTAATCAAAATTAAATTAAGAGTTTCTACTTACATTCTCACCACCTCTTTCGTTTTGTAATGATTGCAAATTTTTCTTTTGCAATGCATCGAATTTACTGAAACTAGATTTCTATAAATAGGTAAAATAAAAAGATGAATAAACTCATTTTAATGAAAATAATAATAGAAGGAAGCTTTACTAAAAAAATATGCATCTATAGTTTTACTGACTAATTTAAACCGGAGATATAATTGTTTGATTTATTCAATAAATTTCTCTCAATATTGTAACCTTTTTTTTTATAAACCCCCGATTCTGCTTACTTAGTGTTTTTTGAAATATTCTTAGCTGCCATAAACATGGTAAAAACACTGTGACATAAGTTTGATAGAAATATCTAATTATCTAATGCCTTTCCGCTCGTATCAAAATGATTAAAAACCAAAAAATTGAAAATAAAATAAGATCACACTTTTAGAAAATCAGGATTTTATTTTCCTGAGACAACTAGAAATTTAATACAAATTATTAACACAAAATTTTTTTTTCAAATAGTGATTTAGTACAACAACACAATAATGACTCTACAAGTTTGTTAAAAACATGGAACTTTAAGATTTGATGCAACATGGAACTTTAAGATTTGATGCAACTCTTACTTAAGAACTTATGTAGCTGAAAAGAAATTCATCCTTGAATTACGCCCCACGCTTTTAGAGTCATTGTGTTCTTGGACTTAATCACAATATTTTGAAAAAAATTTATGTTACATTTCTAGATGTCACATGAAAACTTTTAAAAACCTGATTCGCTAAAAGTGTGATCTTATTTTATTTTCAACTTTTTGGTTTTTAGTCTTTTTGATAAAAGCGTGTTTTTTAAAAAGTTTTTTTTAACGTTTTTTTATTTGCTTCTTTTTTGGTCGCCTGGTTTTTAATCTTAACAACAGATTTAACTTCAAGAAAAAAATGTTATTTGTTTTTTAGTCTCAATCTTTTAATCGAATTTCGACCACAACAATTCAAATTCAACTCCACTTCGTTTTACTCCGTTTCGTTCAACTGTTTATAGATTATATTTGTTCATTCATTAGTTTTATGGAATTTAAGTCATACCTGGAAACAGATGAAACTTCTTAAAAAATATCCTGAACTTCAATTATGTGCGCTTTCTGTGTTTTTTAAAGCATTCATTAGTAAAGTTCATTAAATATCAATCGTAAAGATTTTGTGTTTATCCGTACCATTCCTACTAAATAACGTGTGGATTCCTAACATAAAGATGCAACTGAAAAAAGTTCAAAGCCCCTCGTGCATAAACGTGTGGAAAAATTTCATTTTATTAATTAAATAGTTTCAAAGTTATTTATAGTTGTTTGAACTATTTCTTTAAGTACACGGTGCTGTCTGCTGCCCATTGGGAATGAAGAGACGCAAAAGGAAGCAGGATTTAAGTCCAAAAATGGACTTTGATGAAATCCCGAGTGGATCAAAACAAAATCTCAAGAAACAAAGAAAACAAGTTCCAGAAAAAAAAAACTCCACGGCGGAACCTGAAGCTCCAGTAACAGCTGCAAAGGCTGAAAAGCCTTTGTTCATCCAGCAAAATATTAATGAAGTGAGAAAAATAATTTCACAAATCAATTTGCAGGTTAAGCCTGCATTTAAAATTTCATCAGCGGCTACAACACAAGTCATAGTCAAAAATGTTGAGGACAAAGCCTCAATAATCAGCGTATTGCGGTCTCAATGCATCCCATTTCACACTTTCTCCGAGAAATCGGAGAAAACAAAGTCATTCGTTCTGAAAGGATTTTACGAAACACCAACGAATGAAGTACTAAGATTACTTCAAGAAGTCAAGGTTTCAGCTGTCAAAGTGACAATTCTCGTCAAGTGGGAGAACATCAAGAAGGGCAACAAAAGCCCAACGCAGTGCTTCAACTGCCAACGTTGGGGTCACTCATCTCAAAATTGTGGATATAAGTTCCGATGCGTCAAGTGCACGGAAGTTCACGGACCAAATCAATGTCAACGATCCACTCGTGATGGAAATGCCAAGTGCATTAATTGCAATGGCGATCATGCTGCCAGTTATAGACTGTGCCCATCGTTCATTTCGTATTCCAAAAGAATCGAAAAGTCAAGAGCCAAACCACAACTCAAAATGCTGCCACAGATATCAAGTCTTTTGGACAGTAACAATTTTCCATCGTTAAGCAAACGACATCAAGTTTCTGCTCTTTCACATCCAGTGAATGCTGCAAGTAACTCATCAGCAACATTTCAAGAAGAGATTAATCAGCAACAACTGATCAATAATATCAGTTATGCAGAGAAACTCAACGAAGCAGTAAAGAATGAAAGCCTTTTCAAGAAATTCACAGAAGCTCAAGAACGTTTAAAGAGAATCCCCAACATTGAAGAAGCAATAAATCAGTTCTGCAGTTTCGTCGACGAAGCCGGAAAGATCCCAAAGGATGCACCTCCATTTAAACTCATGGTGAAGTATGGCTTCATGAGCTGCCCACCAGCACCGAACAAGCCAGTTCAAAAATAATTTATTAACTTAGTTCATAAGCTTAAAAAAAGCTTTTTTTTCTCGCTCGGCAATTTTTTTAAACTTTTTATGCCACATTTTCATGATATATGTAAATCTCATTCATCAAAATTAATAATTAATCAAGATATAGTTGAATTAAAGCCATATTCAGGCTGGTGTCAAAATAAGACTCAAAGAAATGTAACTTAAACTACAATAATTCCAAATTTGAAATAAAGAAAGATTATTCTATCCAGAATGAATAGAAAAAAAAATAAAAAATAAAGATGCAACTCACATCTATATGTAACGTATTTATAACGGATTTTCAAATTTAATTCAATGAATGTAATTTAAATGTTATGCAAAAATACGTCAAGCCGTTAATAAATAGAAAAGTCAATTTACCCTGTTTTTTCGTTATAAGCTACTACTCGTTACTAAGCTACTAGCTTAGTAAAGTTTTTTTGAACTTGAAATTTTTTTGTAATCTTTACTAAGCTGCTACCAAAAATAAAGTATAATTAATCTTTTTCAACTTTCTAAGTATCAGTTTCAATGCCTTATGACATTGTCAATGAAATAAAATCGAGAAGATAGCAAAATTTCTTTAATTAAGTTAAAAAATTCAAAATTTTAATTGAAGTTCAATTTCTTTACTAAGCTACTACTCGTTACTAAGCTACTAGTGAGCCAAAAAAATCACTTTTTTATTCTTCTAAGCTACTAGCTTATAACGAAAAAACAGGGTAATTAAATTGGTGAAGTGTTATGAATTAATGTAATACATTAAAGCATATATTTTATGCTCAAACTATGTGTGCTAAATGCACATTGCATATTAATGGTTATTTTGCATTAATTCATAACGGATTTTGTGCTTAACGGTTTTTTGGAAAATTCAAATTTTCACATACGAAGGTTAATGAAAAAATTACTTGTCAATTTTTTTGTTTTACCCGAATATCTTTAGCTGCTCAAATTTATAGTAAAATTAATATCTAGTAATATTAATTAAACTATAATGAACCATATAAATGACTTTAGAGCATCACAAGTATAATATTTAAAAAAAATCAAAATTTTATATCATTGACATTGGATTTTTTCCCATATAAAAAAGTTTTACTTAAATTGTACTATTATTAAGCATTTTTGTGATTCCAAAGTGTTGAAATATTGTATTGTCACGTGTGAATAAAAAATTTGAGCTCGATTGCAGCAGTAGAAGTGGTCGAAAAATCGATTGCAAGATTTGTACGTGACATACAAAGAAACAGACAGAGCAACTCAATAAAAAGCGTGTAATAACAAAGAAACAGACAGAGCAACTCAATAAAAAGCGTGTAAAAAAACAGAATGATTGGAGCACAGGAAAGTTAATTAAATTAATTTTTTTCTTTTACGCAGCCTTTAAAAAGGTGACTTTTCTTATAATCCTCAGGTTGCTGGTTCAAGTCTCATAACGAGCAACCTTTTTTGATTCTTTTTTACACTTTTTTGATAGACAATGATGTTTTATGGTAAAATTTTATATTTTTAATTTTTTCCCTGCATTTTCCGAGTTTTCCAAGGAATTTTATTAAGTTTTCGATACCTTTGTATGAATTTAATTTTTTTGTCATAACTTTTGCATTTTTTGAATTTTCTTTTGAACTTATTGGCATGACGATTCCGTGGCTGTTCTTGAATTTGGAACCAATGCCATTTTGGATACCAGGGGATGATAACCTACGAAAAACTTATATGCTATAACTTTGAAATCTTTTGACTTTATTAGATAAAATTTGGCATAGGGATTTAAAGTTTGTTTCTGAAATGGAACCGACGCCATTCAAGGGTTGGAATTTTTTAACGTTACTCTTCAAATATTTTTGATTATTTATTTGAAATATTTTTTAACGTTATTTTTCAATTGTTTTAAATTTTTAGGATTTAATTTTGTACTCGAATTCTGTGCGGGAATATACACTTACGTCGGTCACGAGTGACCACCACGATACTAGCTTATTCTTCAGGGCAAAAGCGTTTATAAAGTGTTTTAAACGGTTTTTATTTACTACTTTTCAGTCTGATAAATAACTCTTTTAATTGAATTTCGACCACAACATCACAGATTGAAAACCAAACTGTCTTCTTACCATATCAAATTGTTTAATCCCTAAGTTAATTACTTTTCCGCTATATGAGCTTTTGAAAGAATTGATAAAACGTTTGGAAGTATATTGTGATTCCAAATATTGCTGGTTTTTGTTAACATCTTTTAATCCAACCAGGCTGCAATAACTTACTCTCTTTATACAAATAATTTAGCAGATTAAAAATGTTTAATTTGATTCATACCATGAGTTTTAATAAAATTAAATGAAAATTACATATGGTTAAAAAGCATGACCGAAATTTAAAAATTAATGAATTTATGTTGTTAATTATCAGTTTTCCATTGTTAAGCCACATCAACAGCAAATTAAAAAATAATGGAAATGAAATGAAAAAGAAAAAGTAAAAAATGCGTCAGAGACATCAATAGAAAAACTTAATCATATTCACACAAAATTTTCAATTTTTGTGAATATATTGTTTTTGGT